CCAGTGGACATGCTCACATTCCATGGCAGACTGGCTTGAGCCGAAATGCCATGGTTTCAGCTGCCAATGGGCAGAGCTCTCTGGGGAGCTCTGGCCTCAACCAGCAGCACAGTAAGGGGACCCTGAACTCTGATTTAACTAGCCACAGGTCTCAAGGAGGTCAGCAGCCATAGGAGGCCAGACTCCTTCAGGGAAACATCAGGGAATGCCAAACCTGACTGGCGGGACCCCAGGAACAGCAACATAAGTCCATTCACTGCAGCCTCCAGTTGCACATGCAGCAGGCGCACCTGAAAATGTTCAGCCCGGAGGACTCCCATGCAATTTCAATGTTGCACCTGGCGAGCGTGGAACACAGGACCACTGCCCCTGCCCAACCCCTCCCCAGGCAGTCCTGCTGGAGAGCTTGCCTGGCCTGAGCCCAGTAGAGACTGAGCTGGGGGCCTTCAGCCAGAACCCTCCCTCACAGGTGGGCAGCTTGGTGGGGCTACACCGTGGGCCAGGAGTTGCCCTTTGCCTACAGTGAACAGTGGGTGGCAGCAGTCTGCCCAGTGTGGCTGGACACTCCAACCTGATTGACTCCCTGCTGAAGAATAGGACTTCAGAAGAGTGGATAAATGATCTGGAGAACCGTTCAGTCTCAGTAATAGAGGGATTTATGGTGTTTTTAGTGTTCATAATCCTATATTTTTGTTCTCTGGTTCAAGGAAGAGCAACTACGTGGGACCAAAAGCCCATGGCCCAGAGAGCTGGGCAGGTAGAACCTGAGCCCCAGCTGAGGCCTGGCCCTGGTCACAATCTGCGGGGCATGTGGCTCCCAGGCCAGCAATGTGGATGCACTAGGCTGGTCTCAGCCTATCTGCTGGCACCATTACCTGGTGTTGGGATAGCAGAATAGGATTCTAAAGGTGGCTTTCTATCCAAATGACCAAAAATCCAACAGTAATAGCAGCAAAACCCCATGATGTCAGGTTTATAAAAATCTGTGCCATTATGTCGATTTTATCCAAGATTTCTCCGCTTGTCCCAATGTTGGAGACAAGTTTTTGTTGAAACTTTATACAGCAGAATTATTTGGAATTTGTAGCACAGAATATATATTTAAATTTAAGGTTTTTAAACAGATTAGGATAGGTGGTAGTTTAAATTGATTATGTGGCACTGGAAACATGTTTGCCTTTTTTATTTCTGCTGTTTGTCAGCTTTCAGGGCAGGAAGGTCTCTGGAAAACTGTTTCCGTAAGTGCAGGCTATGATTGCATATGCCAAAAGGAACAGGATGCTGTGAGACAGCAGTTCTGGTGATACAGACAGGGTATTCCTAGCAGCTCCTCCTCCTTTCAGAGTGCTGTTCTTCCTGGCTGGCACTCACTCAGGAGGATCCTGGCCCCCAGGAATCCCCTCCTTCCATGCTCTGGCAGCTGGACCCCAGGCCAAATGCCAAAGGTGGAGATTTGGGATTCCTGTGTATTATGACTCCCCACCTTCTGCAGTTTCTCTGAAAACTTGTATTTAACATGGTAGGAGCATGGTCATTGTTTAGTTGTGCACAGATGTCTTTCTTTTACCCTATCTTCATTTACCATGACCTTTCTCTCTGCCTGTCTTTCTTCCTCTCTCCAGCCGAAATGGAAAATTATTTACTACATTGGAGGGGGGAAAGAGTCTTTCAAATTCCATAGGGGGCTGGCCGGTTAGCTCACTTGGTTAGAGCACAGGGTTGTTAACACCAAGGTCAAGGGTTTGGATCCCCATACTGGCCAGCCACATAACAACAAAATTCCACAGGGAACACTGGCAATGTCATATTGTAAAGGAGGCTGCAGGGTGACCCAGAGTAAGGAATTCCACTGTTTGCCCACTTCTGCCACTCCCATGTCAGATGACCTGCACTTTCTAAAGAGATTGCTTTATAACACTAACACATCCTTTCTAAAAATTCAAGTGGATTTCTCTTTTAAGGTCTATTAATGAGTGGACTTGACTAATCTGAGTCCAGAAAATAGAACATGACACATGGGCTGTTTGTGGAAACAAGATGGAGGAGAGAGCATTTCACCATAATGAAAGCAAAATGGTAAGCACAGGGAGAGACCCTTTCTCACAGAATGGTGGAGAGAAAGAGTATGCCAAAAAGGGTGGTTATATGCAGAACAGGCTATGGAGAAGCTGCAACCCAATTTTTATTTCCCTGGAGTCTTCACATGGATCATTCAAGGAGTATCATATGTAAAGAATTGAGCTGAAGAAAATATTCACATGACCAGCCTGAGTTGCTCTGAGGGAATGGAAGGGTTGTATACACATTGGTAATTATTTTGCACAGCAGTGCCTTTTTCATTGGGGGGGTACTTGGGCCCTCACACCCTCTTCCCTAATAGCTATTTGCCACCACGGGTGGTGTTTGGGCCATTTTCCCCTTAAACACTCTCCCTGCCTTTTCCATACTCTCAATTTAGCTCTCAAAGAAAGACATGAATCATAAAGTCAGTAAAGACTCCACTCTTTCAAAGAATTCCTCAATCTGAAGGGGAAAAGGGTGACTTCAGTGGATTTCCTAACAAAAATAGGGCTGAAGTCTGGTTATGTATCTTTGTTTCTTTCCTGGTCTCCCTGCAACTGCTGCCCACCTCCTGCCTCTGTCCCTCTGGGGCACTCACTGGGCCCTGTACTCTGCCTTAGTCCTAGGGCTGGGTACACAGACAGTGGGCTTCTCACTTGCTGCAGTATCATAGCAATAAAATGTGATTCTTGGGGTCCACCTAGGGAGCTGCCCATGGCTTTATTTATGAATCTGGTTTTGGGGAGTCAGAGGAGATGACTTTGCTTTCGTTCACATTCCCAACTCCCAGGAGTCACAACTCAGAAGAAAAGAGTGCTCAGACTTTTGTTATACACATTTACTTTTTGTAAATAAATGTTTAAGTTTTATATTAAAGATGGTTTGATAAGTATTAGAGCTTCCAACTGTATATTTTTTACTTTATAGACTAAAAACTATTATTTTATATATGTATTGTGGGGGAGCTATAAGTTTTATGGTGAACAGTTGGTATTAACTTTTTACTGTCTTCAAAAGTATATAAAAATCCTATTAATACCCTTAATCTTCTAATTCCCTTAAACTCTGGTATATAGCAAAAAGAAATCTTTACTTTCCTTGTTTTATCATTCTAAAAAAATAAAAATATTTTGCTAGTATGGAAAACAAAAGTTCTGAAGTTTGTGTAGGTTTTAGAGAAAATCCTCCTCAGCCATACCCTACATACAAAAGAAGAAAAACAAATATACATATATAATATATATCAACAGCTATTCCTTGACACAATAATCCTCACACTGCAGTTATAAATCAAAGAATACCAACAGTATCATAAGAAATATGGAACTGATGAGTAAATAAATAAAAAACAATTTCATTTATAACACATGGGAAATGTACAAGATGAAAGTAGAAGTGGCTTAAACAAATGACAGTAGACTTTAAAAACAGAGGCATCACTCAACCCCTTCCTCCAGAAGATGTGTCGAAACTATACTCCTTATAGGTCTGAACCTACAAAAAATTGATCACAGGTTTGAACGAAGGTTTGTTGATGGGAAACAACAATGGCACACTCAGGATAGAAAACGTGGCATGAACAATAGTTTAGTCAGAAACTCATCCACATGAGGCTGTAAACTTGAACAATGTTCTCCCCAGGAGAAATTCCTACACCATTGCTGACTCAAAGAAGATAATCATTAGTATATGGGGTCAACATTGCCACAGACACTTTCATGGTGCTGCTTGAAAACCAGAACTACAATTGGAAACACTTATCAGGCTCTCCTGATATTTTCTATCTCAGTATCCTGTGACATGCGGATGACGCGTCTTAGAGGCTTCAAGGGACATCTCCCTATATAGCAGGAAGCTGTTTAAACATATTAGTCAAACGGTTCTCCTTCAAAAATGTGGTGTTATCATGTAAACCCACAATACAGGAGAATCCACAAGAAGTTACCTATAACCTAAAGGTGGGTTATCCCAACAGAAAAAAAGGATGACATGTCAGACCCTATGATTGAATATATCAAAAGCAAGTTTCAGATTCAAAATCTACCAATTTTATGATAATAAGAAATCAGGAAGAGCCAAGGTTTTTCTACTTTCACAGAGGAGTAAGAGCAGTGGCAGAATGAAAAAAATACAACATATGAGGGTCAGATATTGTAGGATCTTGATACAGGAGTCTGTGCTCTTCTCATAAACCATACACTAAAAGCCTGGAAAACTGAGATATATGTTCCTGATATACGAGAGGAGAATTAAAGAGATGACCTTTCTGCCAACTGTTTTTACAGTTCTGGTGGATAACAATCTCAGAAGATCAAACCCAATGCCCTGTTACACATATCCATGAAGGGTGACAAAAATAGAACAGAAGAAATGCTTGAGAGACCTCAGAAGGCAAAGAGGACTTGAGAGAGCACCATGCAGTTTCTAGGGCCCCAGACTCCAAGGAGAAACAGCAATTGCTTTTCATTTCCTGACTAAGTCTTCTAAGCACAAGAAATGGGATGGAATATAGATAGGTCCAGGTGTCAGGACCATGGAGGCCTCAGCTCTGATCTATCTGAAAAGCAAACCAAGCATCAGATGGAATTAAGTACAGAAGGAGAGACCAAGTGAGAAGATTCTTGTGAAATGGACCTATGCATAACCTTCTGGGTGTAGCAACCAGAGAGTTTACAGAATCCAGACGACAGTGTTGTCCATAATGATAAGGACTTTTTGCCGACTTGTTCCTGTTTGACTGCAGCACCACTGGAGGGTGAAAATATAAACATGTATACATCAAAAACCAGAGTGATAGTGAAAAAAAAATTTCTTTTTAGAGCACACCAAATATACACTTTTGTTTTCCCACAAACAGCTTCCACTTGTAGAGTTTTCCAAACACTATTTAGTGGTGCAGTTTCCTCTGTACTCGTGTAAGTTCTTATCTGTGTACATACCTTTGACACATTCCCTCCCTTTTGGTTTTCTTGTTATTTTCACTTGGCTCTCCACAGTCAAGGGCTCTTTCTCTTGCTCCAACATGGAGATAATATTCAGGTCAGGAATAGAGTTTCCTGCTTATAAAATGAAAAGAAACATGATGTGCTGTGGCTTTTCCAGAATCTCAGACCTTTGTTTGGGTTAGGAGAAAGAAAATTACAGATGGATCTAGAAATATAAATCATAAATTCATTCATTGATTGCCTCTTTCTGAATGCTTAGGGAACACTGTAATATGTAGACATCTATTTCCCTTCCAAAAATTACTGAATCAAAACAGAAGGGGTAGGGGCCGGCCCGGTGGCGCACTGCTGCAGTGCGCCGTTTGGGAGCGCGGCGGCGCTCCCACTGAGGGTTCGGATCCCACATACAGACCGGTTCCCGCTCACTGGCTGAGCGAGGTGCGGACGCAGCGCCGAGGGTTGCGATCCTGTTGCCGGTCCTGGTCCAGTACGGGCGCGACACTGAGGGTTGCGATCTGTTGCCGGACACGAAAAAAGACAAAAAGGAAAACAAAACAAAACAAAAAAAAAACAGAAGGGGTAGAAACAAGGAACTGGATATTTTAAAAGTCTGCTATTAGGTTTTATGCATACTTCAGCTCTAAAAGTACCACTGATGTATTATGAAGGGTGCGGAACATACTACATTAGAGGCAATGGATAAAGTCCAGATGCCACATCATTAAGCTTTTCATTTCAGAATCAACAGGGCTTCAATCTCAGTCAAGCAATGCAGGGGCTCCCCAGAGGCACACAAGGGAAAATGCAAAGACACACAGGGGCAGATCCCTACTTCTGGAGAGAAGTTATCCTCACCCAGGGAGGCCAGGTTCCTGTAGTTCTCCAACATCACATCCCTGTACAAAGCTCTCTGAGCACGGTCCAGGAATTTCCACTCCTCCTGAGAGAATTCTATGCTCACATCCCTGAAAGTCAAGCCTCTCTAAAATAAAAAACACATTTTACCAAGGGGTGTTGGAGAGAGTTTTCATCTTCACACAAAATTAGAACAGAAAAGAATTTTTTTTTTGGGGGTGTAGCTGGCTGGTAAGGGAATCTGAATCCGTAACGTTAGGGTTACCAGCACTATGCTCTCCCAAGTGAGCCAATTGGCTAGCACAAGAATGGTAAATATTGATTTGACTTAATGAGTCTTCTGACAGATCCATGTTAAGATACTTTTTAGCAAGTTATCTCTCCCTAATTACATTTTATTATACTTTTTCATAAGAGGTTTCGATATCCTCTAAATCAATATGAATTTCTTATTCATGTGAACAACACAAGAAATACACAAAAATCCCTGTACAGGCCAGCTGCCAAAAAAAAGAGAAATATATAACTGGAAAGCCAACACAGGGTTACCTCTATAGAAGTGTTAGATATTATGTTCAACACACCAAGTGAAACAGTATCTAGATGAGCTAGAATATGAGTGGTATCTTCAGAGACGACAAAGTCCAGAGCAGCTTTAAAGAAAGAAGGTCACAATCTAAAAAGTGTCAGGATGACAGCAATAGTATTGACTGAAGTTTTTGAACACTTCCCATGTGCTAACACTATTCTAAATACACCTACTAATTCATATAACAACATAATAGCCCATGAGAGGAAAATCTGGTCAAAGAGGTAAAAATGGCAGAGTAAGCACCTGAACCCCGGTATCTGGGATTTAGAATTGCACGTAAAGAAACAATCAGGTAAAGACTGACCAATTTGATTGGTTGGTTAGAGCGTGGTGTTACAACATTGAGGTCAAGTGTGGATCTCTATACTGTCCAGCTGCCAAAAATAAAAAGGAAAACAATGACAATAACAACAACAGCAACAATAAAAACAAGAAAACAATCAGTTAAATAACAGATACAGTCTCAAAAGTAAGTGACAGAGGTTTAGGTAATGGAGAAAACATGAAGTGAGTCCAAGGATATAAAAGTCATTGTGTCACATACACACATGCATGCATGTAATATGTTACTATTCTTACTACTATTAACTCATTAATGTGATAGTGCAGAACAAATATGACCACAGAAATTATTTAAGATACTTTAACTGCTACAAGATGTAGCACTTAGTTCAAATGATGATGTGTCTTTGATAAATATGATGGGCTTGCACATCCACACATCTATGCATACAAATCACATACATACACACTTACATAAACTGCAACAAGTTTTTTCTCAATGACATACTTTTTTTTTTCTTTCAAAGATGACTGGTAAGCGGATCTTAACCTTTGACTTGGTGTTGTCAGCACCACACTCTCCCAAGTGAGCCATGGGCTGGCCCTCTCAATGACATACTTTTTTTTTTCTTTCAAAGATGACTGGTAAGCGGATCTTAACCTTTGACTTGGTGTTGTCAGCACCACACTCTCCCAAGTGAGCCATGGGCTGGCCCTCTCAATGACATACTTTTTGGTGATATTTTTCACCAGCATTTTTGCTCATGTGCGTTTCAGCATGTTAGAGACAATAAAATGTATAAATTATAGTTAGTGTAAACACTATTGCACATCAAGTTAGTAAAAATGGTATAACATAAAAAACACATTAAAAACTTGAACTCCAATCTCTCTTAAATACCCATATTCAAAAAATATAAATACAATTTTTCATTTAAATTTTCATATTTAGTCATTAACAACAGCCCAAAGGAGTTTATTAATTTATCCCACTAATAAAACTATGTTATAAGATTAAAAAATTTATCACTGTTAACATCAATTTAACAGAGTAAGTGCAAAACAATATAAATTATAGCAGTCAATATTTGAAGAAATTACTGACAAATTAAAAATAAGGCCAAAAAAGAAATTTGAAAAAAGAAAAACAAGCTATTAAACAAGAACATTTTACCAATGATCGTGATAAGCAGTAAAAACTGGATGCATTCCTCTAAATAAAGGCAAAAAGGGGCTGGCCAGGGCTGCAGCCAATCACCATTGCACAGGATGCTTGAGCAGAGACTAGCAGCACAGGGGAAAGGTGAGACGTAAGGGAAAGGGGAGAGAACAAAGAGCAGAATCTGTTAAAACCAACAGATGACATGATCAAAACCTAGAAAAATAATGTTTAAATATAGGAACTAATAACAATATGTAATCTTTATTAGTTCCAATTACAAAAATAATACACACACACAAATAAGAGACATTGTACATTTCCATTAGCAATATCCCTAATTGAAAGACATTTGCAGACCTATGTGAAGAAATTATAATGTGATGTCAACAACATAGAGGTATAGGAAGCTCCAAACTCTACTTCCTCCATTGAGACATAGGCTTCACTACAATAGACAAACAGACTGTGTGAGAACTCTAGAAACTGCATACAAAGTTCCTGTGTCACAGAAAATTCAGTCAGCCTCATGGAAACCAACTAAAAAAATTCTTGGCACTCAATTGCCAAAGCCCCTGCTCATGCACAACATGGGGTTATTTTAAGAAACTCACTAATTCCTGATTTAGTGGAGGGAAAATATGGCAACATCCATCTAACATTTTGCCTCTTCAGGGTATGGCCTGACAGACAAGTTTGTCTTATTTGAAGATAAGCAGTGAAAGTAACAGGTGCCAGTTCAGGGGCCTCTGAGAATGAAGGATATCAACAAAAACCAGTGTCTTAAGTAACACAGGGAGACATTAGGTGGAGATCTAGACAACAACTACTATGGCACAGCAGAGGCTACAGAGGTTACAGAACAGCAGGCAGAGAACACGGAAACTCCTGAGTAGAAACTCACAAACTTCTTCAGTTGTGAGATTATAAGCAAAATCCCAGTGAGAACACATCCTCAGAAAAAGCATGAGAGGTCTCCAGAATTTCTAGACAATATCCTCCCTGTACAAAGCCAGACACCAAAAATTGGGAGAGCTGACTGATTTGCAAAATGCTGAGTCCTAACCAAACATAAGACATACAACAACAACAAAAAAGGAAACATGGCCCATATGAAGGTACAAATTTAATCACTACAAACCAACAATAAACATATGAAGACTTACAAATAACTAGACAAAGAATTCAACTGACTTCACAAGTCCAAAAAAAAAAAAAAAAAAAAAAGCAAAAAAGAAAAGGGGGGGGGGGGGGGGAAAAAAAAAAAAAAAAAAAAAAAAGGGGGGGGGGGGGGGGGGAAAAGAAAAGAAAAAGAAAAAGAAAGAGCGACTAAGGGACTTATG